ATCTCTCTCAAATGCTCTAAGTTTGCATGTGATTCCTTCGGATTCGGCATATAACGACTAAGAACACCAACACAAAGATTCAAGTCTGGTCTTATATGAAGCAAATATCGAAGGCAGCCAACATTTCTTCTAAAGCTTGTTGCATCGATCTCCTTTTCTTCTTTAGCTTTAGATAACTTTAGTCCAGACTCCATTGGTGTGTGAACTAAGTTGCATTATTTCATCCCTGACTCTTCCAAGATCCTTTTGGCGTAACGGTGTTGAGTTAGTGTTATTCCCTTCTCATGTTGACATACTTCAACCCCAAGATAATAAGTTAGCTTCCCGAGGTCACTCATTTCAAACTTAGAAGCCATCTCATCTTTGAAGCTGTCAATGATCTTTAAGTTTGTCCCTGTGACAAATAAATCATCTACATATACTGCCACGAGAAGGATATTGTTCTCTCCTAAAGCTTTGCGGTAGGCTGATGGTTCTTTTGAACATTTCACAAACTGAAGCTCCTTTAGAATTTGATTTAGTTTATCGTTCCATACTCTCGGTGCTTGTCGCAATCCATACAATGCCTTATGAGTTTATAGACCTTATCCTCACTGCCCTTCTCTTTGAATCCTTCCAGTTGCATTACATAAACGGTTTCTTTAAGTTCTCCGTGAAGAAATGCCGTCTTGACATCGAGATGGTGTATCTCCCACCCATTTGAAGCAGCAAGGTTTACAAGAAGGCGTATTGTCTCTATCCAAGCTATAGGAGAAAATACTTCGTCAAAGTCAATTCCGTATTGTTGTACATGGCCTTTTGCAACCAATCGAGCTTTGTGTTTATTGATACTTCCATCAGAATTTCGCTTAAGCTTAAAGACCCATTTTAGACCAATTGGTTTAGCTCCATGTGGAAGTTCTAAAAGATCCCAAGTCTTGTTCTTGTTTATCGAGTTAATTTCATCCTCACAAGCTTTTATCCATTCCTCTGATTCTTTAGCTTCTGTGAAATCAAACGGCTCATTATGAGACAAA